TGTCATCATGCATGAAGTTGTAGATGAATCACTGCGTAAAATATGTCACTATCAATAGAATGTGCCGCAGCATTATTATCTTTTAGATACCCTAGTATAGTTACTATTTCCGAATTTTTGCAGCAGAGTTTTAACAAAATTGTGCGAGTTTTGTAATATACCAAATAAAAGAGGAATTGTTAGTGCAAGTGGAATGACGCTGTGAGCAGGTGAAAAGCAACCCCCTCCACCCCTCCCAGCGCAAATTCAACTTCTATACTAAATATAACCTATATTTTTAGCGTCCGTCACCTATTCATAAAGAGATATTTCTTATGTTGCATTTGTTGATATCCTTTGATAGCTTAAAACAATACTATCACGCGCGGTTTTCTTTTCGAGGAAGTTGAAATTTGTTCGTTATCTCAGATGGTTTTAATATATCAGTCAAAAAGACCACAACGAGAGACAATCCGGAAAGATCAGTAGCATAGATTCTTCTAGAAACACGTGAAAGGCTTTACTTTAAAAACCCTTAAACCACATTATTTCGTTTTAATCTTTCATAATCAATCTATCTCCTTAAGAAGGATTAATTCTTTTGAGCAAAAATAACAATACTTCATCCACTTCTACATGATCCTGTTATTGGCTGAAATAAGAAGACGTGTACGCACGCGCCGATTCAAAACGAGGTCTTGCGGGAGGTTAAGTCAACATCACGTATTTGGGTCTTTAAGGTTGTTGCGTTTTTTGTAGTCTATCGCTAAAGTTCAATTCGCGAGAGCTTATTCTAACAATACTGGCAACTATACGGTTTCAGATCTGTTTGCTTTACGTGTGTTCAAACGAGTTAATTCGGGGATGAAAAACGTTCACTGCTCTTGATTAATTCTTTGTTCTAAAATTTGTTTCAGCAGTTCAGATCAATTTCGTGGAAGTTTTAGTAGCAGACTAAAATGTTAGCTTAGCACTTAAGCAGGCGTTGTAATAGAGCCAAAAGTCCCAAAATAAGCATAAAAAAAAGAAAACATGCACTACAATAACAAAGACACGCTTCAGCGTGTTAATCAACTGATGTTAACTTGTGCCAATGGGTACAAATCCAAAATTTCCTGCTTAAACGCAAACATTGCGCCCACGTACATATACCCCATATTGAGCATAATTTTTGCTTAAGCCTAATTTATCATTGCCCTCAGGCAGATGAGAAAATAAAATACCTTGCTTCCATCGTAGTAACGTAGCTGATATTTTTTTCGAGACACTATGATCTCTCGTTTATTTTATTTTTTTTTTTATTTCGAGATTTTTTCCTCCAGCTGAATTACTTTCCACATGTCGTCTTCTTACACGAGACAGAGAGGGCCCTTCAACGGAGAGGTAAGATGGTGTAATCCGAAATGATATGAAATGAGTATTCATGAGATGGGCGATGTCTAAGCTCTTGTAAAGGAATTCACTCTCTCGATTATTGAATTAGTTCTTCAGGAATGGGGAATAGGCGTGATTAAGAAGTAAACACCAAAACAGAAGGGAAGTGCTAAAACTATATCCGGCACTTAAAACTATGTCACATATTTGCTTTCTATTCCAATTGCAGGGTGCTGACAGCTATCCTGCTGTTGTATTATTTTGATAAGACTTTTTAAAATGTCGCCATTTCCTTTGAGGTAGAATATCTCGCGCTATTTATGGTGCATCAGAGCGGGAGCGCGACTTCATAACCCCTTACGGCCCGGGGCAGATGATGGTGATATATCTGGGCACAAATCCAACGGTAAGGCATTAAACGGCTGTGTATTATCGGTTGACACAAATCACGAAAAGTGGGTGTTAAATATCCGTTAAGGCTGCTACCTTTTTGCGTCATTTGACATTTCAACATCAACGCTACCACCAATCGTGAAACTGATAAGTTTTCACACCTGAACCGCAAGCTATGGCTTTACGTTCTGTCTAGTTGAAGCAAAAGTGCCAGATTTCGGCCGGTAATGAAAGCAATGAAATAAGGTATTAAATGACGTGAAGGCCCTGCTATCCTGGAGACAAACGTTTAACGCTCAAAAACACTAGACGAGCTTAAGCCTTAGTATATCATCAACCGACACTTGCCGAGTTCAATCCACGCAGGTATTTGCTTATAGGTGCTGAGAGAGTGCGGCGTTTTGGAACCCAAGGCGAGCTCAGAAACCCAGTCGTGAAGCGCGACTGATATTATTTCAGAGATTTGCGTCCAGTGGTCGTGCCGTTCAGGCGCCAGAAGCAGGAAAGGTTAGCCGTATATAGCAATGCTATCCTGTAGTTTAATGTTCCGTTCGATGCTGTGTCTTCTGCTCAGTTTCCTGTTATTTGGAACCGTGGTGGTTCTTGCTGGCGAAGAGGACTATGATCCCTGTAAAGCCGGTAAGTTTAAATCCATATTTCTTCTGCAGCTCGGTGTCCCTAGATTGCCACGGTTTGTCTGTGAATCAATCCATCTTCGTTTTGATGGGAAATTACGACAATTCGTTTGAGTTCGTGAGCTTTCCTATCACTTAAGTTGTCAGATTAGTAGTCTAAACTAAACATATTTATGTGTGCATTATTCTGTGTGAATTTTGGCTACGCAGTGTTTGACAATGTACTTGGCCTAAAAAGCGATTTAGAATCTTCGAAAGCTAATAGAAAGATCCGCTTTTACAGAATGTAGAGTCATCGAGTTTTCCTTGTTTCAAGAACATCAATCATTTCTTGAGATATGCACGCGTAATACCTATTTTAATACGCGATCTCTCGTTCTCTCCCAGATGGCATTATCCAGGGAGATATTGCAATCTCGTTGAAAGAACTGAGACTCCGTCGGCAGAAAAGGGCAGCCACAGCTTACAGCAAGAGGTTATGGCGAGACGGAGTGATTCCATTCGTGATTGCCGACGGGACTTACACAGGTTAGCCTTGAACCATTGAGTAATGCAGATCTTTCGAAACCTGATCAAACCCCTTCTTGTTAACACTAACATCAAACACCGATCGATCTACTGAAATACAGGGCACAAGTTCAAGTTTAGTCAACTGGTGTGTTTTGATCTTAAACATATGAATGATCTCAACAATGGAAACAGATTTGTTGAAAACATGACATAGAAGAGGGATGTAGACTAGAGTTCGGCCTGACTAATTTAAGAAATTGGGGCTAAAGAATCAATTGCATATCATGCCCCTTATGGCATTTATTAGCCAAATGTATTCAGAGAGGCAGCTTGGAGAAAAGTAGTGTTGGTTTTCCAAATCATAAATAACAGCTCTATCGATTACATCGGCGCTGTTGTTCTTCTTAATCATTTTAACACTTCAGTTTTTGTCATTTAAATAAAGGATGCTAAATTGTTATGAGTAAACATGCCCAAATCTTTTGTGAAATGGTTCCTATAAAAGAGATAGTATCTTCAAATTTATTTTTTCTGGATCTTCTTTCAGTGCCAAAAGCATAAGCATAAACAACACTGTGAAAGGCCTATCAATTTAAATCGTTTATCTTGATGGTTAATCCATCAATTTTGTCACCTTTTATCCTTTAATAAACAACTAATCGCTTTTTCATTCACTGTGACAGCACTGAAAGAATTCGGCAATTATCGGTACGGTATGGTAGATCCTGGTATTAGTTTAGGATATAACTTTATTTGAAGGTAATCTAACGAAAACTGCCCTATATTTATTTGACTAGTCGTGAGCGAGGTGATGGTTACTGTTTACGATTTACCATGCAGAGAGATCTCCATTGCAGACCTTAAAATCAACACTTATTGACCTTCGTTCACTCTAACTAGAGCCCTAAAGGCAGTTAACACGCAAGAGAAGAAACACGCAAAGGACAAGCCATGAAAAACTGAGCTTAAACCACGCAAATACACAGTTGGGAATTGCGATAAAATGTGAAATTATAAATCTGAACTAAGGCTCAGATTAGTCTTCCACGTAGGCCAAAGAGACGACAATGACTCTTGAAGTCTCAGTTATCAGTAAATAATTGTTTTACACACGAGTAATAATTCCTTGGGCACTGCACACATTTTTCTCCTTGTCACGGTCAAAGAAGCAATACGTAACGCATGGCCAGTGGCATCGACATCTGTTTTTCATTCTCGCAACAGAATTTTTACAAATAAATAAAATATAAAACAAATAATAAATAATAAGAAAAAAATCCCATCTTCCGGCATGGGTCAAGTTAAAATTCTCAGGTCCTCAACTTTCCCCACCCCCTTCACTTACAAATATTCTCTCTGTCGACCTTTGTCAGAAATGGAGTTTGCTTTAGTATTTTTAAGCTGAAAAAAGGAAATGGGTTTAATTAATACTACAATAATAACAATTCACAATAGCAGTAATAACATTCTCTATTCTTTGATACGTCATGTTCAATAATCACCTAGGAGCCAGTGAAGCTATCTCTATGAGTTACTAATCCTCAATTAATTTGACAGCTTTTGTTTGCAATTCCATACATACTTCAGTTATAACAAGATGTGAGGCAAGCCTTTAACATTATGCAATATTTTTTGTCTGTCGGTTTATCAAAATCATGAAATCACGACAGGAATTCGATTCCATGAGAAACCGCAAGACCTAGGATTTCCTGGCGTCACTGGTACAGTACATAACGCCACACACGAGAAGAACAGAGACCTTGAAATCGCCAGCCAGAAACGCCACTATCTTTGGAGCGGGTTTTGGGGTTGTTATCCGCTTAAGAGGGATTTCTGTGTCTCTGTTGATTGGCTTATTTAAATTGAAAAGACTAGCACGATCAGAGACGAAAAGGGACAGGAATTACTTCAACACGCCACTTTGCAAGTACTTTCTTCTCTAGTTTTTTTTTTTAAGCAGATTGATCGATGCTTGTTTAAGAGTTGTTTTTCCATGTCAACTCTCTCCCACTGGTGTTCTAACAGTTCTGGTCTTGAGGACTTTCCTGATGACATTGAATGTACTAGTGTCTCGATCAGGAAGACTACTTCACGCATCTCTGTGCATTGATATGGCATGAACTCACAAGCTCTTAGGTTTAAGCTTATCCGTGGGCTAAAGATTTATCTTTTTGCCATCTTTGCATTTGACATGCGATTCTCAAAACCGGGTATCAGCCCTCTATAAAATTATTCCAAACTTTTCTTAGTTGGGATGCTAGATCTTCGTTTCTCAGTGTAATTCAGTGCTTTGGCGAGAGGAGGCACCGCTAGAGACTTGAACTACACTATTTAACGACATTGCAAATGTTACACTGAGTTATAACCGTCACTTCTAAAGATTTATGTTGTAACATACGAAACGTCATGCAAGTTAATACAGTTACGTTTTTTAGACCATGCGCTGTCTGTTTGTAATGTTTGTAACCGCTGTTTGTTTTCTTTCCCTTCTGAAATCAAAATAGCCGAAAAACAACAATATGTAGACCCTGAAACCCTGGATCTGGAGTTGGATGAGCTAAAAAGGGGAAAATGGGAAGGGTAGAGGAGGTTATTCAAATATTGATTTTTTTTTTTACCAGTGCTCTATGGAGACGATGAGATAGACAAAATATCTGAGTTATGATGATGAAACATTCGTTAGCATTTTGGCCGTCCGCCAGTAATCTTGTTATCAAGGAAAAGTAAAAAATGCGGGGAAGATTTTGCAAGAAAGGTTCAACTTCTTTTAGACTCACATTCTGGGTTTCGTTTTTTTCCAGCTACTCAGGCTAAATCTCTGACGCCCTGTTTTGTGCTTAATTCTTTGTTGCAAATTTGAGAGATGTATTCTCTCCTCATACGATATTTTTCACAGATGCACCAGGAATTATCATTTGAACCAGATAAAGTGTGCGTTATTCCAACTTGCAAGTCTTTATCTGGTTCTGCTCTCTAACGTCAAAACAAATATTTCAGTTGGCCATCGTATTATGAGCTCAACTTACTCCTCATCATGCATGGCTGGTTCAGAGATACCAGCGTTCTTACAGGGTCGTACCTCTCTCGCACGGTTCACGAATGGAATAAATAGCGAATCACATTTCATATCGAATTTCATTTTCCCGAACCACGAAATTAACTAAGTAAGGTACTCTTTTTAATAACCTGCTCTTACGCTAAAACTTACGAGGTAACAGATGGACATTTAAGGAAAGCTCTTTGTTACTCGGTAGTTGCCGATGCCTTACGAGACATTACGATAATTGTACAGAGGCCACCTGCGAAGTTTTCAGTCTTAATAAATTTTCCGGAGGACTCGCGTCTCAAAATCACATAGAATAGAGTGGTGAAATCACGAATATCGGTTAATAATTCAAGTTCTCCAAGGGTCACTCAAAACCTTCAAGTCACGGATCGCGAAGAATAATTTTTTAAATTTACTTTTCACGGAAATTAAAATCAGCTAAACAAGCACCACGAGAATACTCCTGTACGACTCTCTTCTTACTTCATAGGTATGCATCAAGAGATGAGCAGATCTGTTTTGTCTTTCTGCGTGAAATTATGATGAGGCTGAGTAAACTGATTCTGAAATTAATAAGACGGTCAATTTTCAAACGTACGTTTTTGCATAGGTAGCCACATGGCTTCAGGTATAATTTGGTATAAATTAACCCGAGTAAATTTTATTAAATGCTAACAAAGTTTCACGAACCCGTAGGGCGAATTTACTTTGTAGTCTTTGAAAAGTTCACAAGTTCTTACCTTACATATTTGGAATCTCACGAGAATAATCGTGCGATTAATAACACACATGATACATTTAAAAAATTCAGTGGGCTTACTTAGGCAGTGTGAACACTGTTCCGAAAATATATTCGCAAAACTTCCCCAGTAATGGCCTGTTTCCGATAATGTTCGAGAATCTTTGTTAATCTTCGAGTGATCTACAATAATCTTCAGATGATCTTTGAAACTCTTTGGAATTCTTCGGAATTATTCGAGGGATCCACGAAGGTAATTAATTCTAAAATGTTCGGGTGATATTCGTAAATTTTCTGAACAGTTCGGGTTTTGCAGAAGTGTTCGAAAAACTTCGGCTGTTTTGGGAGACCTTGGCCAAACTTCGACCGCTTTGAAACATCGATCTCGCGTGACCGTCTGCAGTTAGCAAGTTTCTTCGAACTGTTGTTAGAACTGTTGAAACGTTAGTCAGTAAATCGCGTTTAATTGTCGCACCTCTTTGGGGTTAAAAAACGGTTTTGGTACCTCTTAGAGTCTTTAGCCTCAAAAGGTCCACGGCGGGAGCTTTTGCAATAACTTTTAGGGTATTGAGCCGAAAAAAGTTTGACTGAGATAATGTGTTGTTCGAGATTTGGCACCTCTAAGGGGTGAAAAATTTTTAAAGCCACACCCTCAAAACAGGATCTTGGTACCTCTTAAGGCGGGGGTCTACCTAAATTTAAGTGACGTTTTAGGAAGTTTAAAGAGGGATTAACAGGAAAAAAAACGTTTTGGAACACCACCAGACACTTGAATGCCCCCCGAAAGGGCACCCCAGGTTGCTGGACTGTTTGGTGTACGTCTACCAATTTTTAACTTCAAATTCTAATTTTAAAACAACATCAAATCTTCAAAATTTCCTATTTCCATAAATTTTACTGATCCTTTGAGAAAAACTATTAATCCCCAAATATACCCAAAAATCACCAAAAAAATTTACAAAACAACCCAAAAAGTAGATATGTGGGCCATGGGATGAGTAGAGAGATTTTTGCCTGCTTGAAACGTGAGCAAGATATTTGCGTTAAAACCATAAGACCCAGCCGAAATGCGGCCTTCATGTTAACCCCGCCTTAAATTTTTCTTTTCAAAATTTCTGACGAGCACCCCGTCTTTTTTGTGTGGGAGCACCCTCTCCGCCTCCCCCCCCCCCCCCCCCCCCCCCCCCCCCCCCCCCCCCCCCCCCCCCCCCCCCCCCCNNNNTTAACCAGCCCCGTTGCCATGGCAACAGCACACACCTTAGCCAAAATGCGAGAATAAACTTTTCTGTGGTTAACCTTGACTCTTGCAAAAAACGAGCGTCAAAGCATAAATAGCTTAAAAGTAATGGTGAATTAGGCATAGGCTCTTGAAAACTGTGTTCGGCCACCTTAATCGAGGCCAAATCGCGGCCTGACATGATCATTTTTTTTTTTTTAAGTTTAAATTGTGGCACCGTTAGTACTTGTAATTTTTTTCCAAACTTAACGTGTTCACAAACTGAAACAATGCACAAATGTAATACTACACGACGAAAGCTATACATCCTTTGTTGTCTCATTACTCGTCGAAAAAAATGGAAGGAGGGGATGGGGCGCTTATTCGAGAGGGGGGGGGGGCGCTAATTCGGAGATTTACGGTAAATGCTTTATTACAAATTGCCAGTTTGTTTTTTTAATAGTCGGTCGACAGGGTTAAGCACACAATTTACAATGCCCCGTTTGTCACGCCACAAAGATGTATGATGTACTATAATATTATTTTAGAAGTGGCTACTATAGACCCTTCGCATAAATGGGCCCTGAATTTACTTTATACATCCTAAGCCTCGCACTGATGTTTCCAGACAAAGCAATTTTCACATGAATGTGTCGCCTAAGATGTACAAGTATTGTTATTCAAATAAGGGCGACATTTACGAACGGGTCTACAACTTCCCTCTTGTGCAAGTGCTTTGCTCTCACAATGCCCTTCTCCACCTGGGACTGATAAATGGGTAGGAATTGTTAGGAACCCTGACAGAATTCTGGCAACCAGCAATGGATCAGTATCGAAACAAGGGCGAGAAGTTGAGGAGTTGCCAGCCACAAGCCTTATATTTATATATGTATTTTTTTTTTACTTTGCAGGCGATCAGAAAGCCACTATTATTCAAGCCATGCGTCACTGGGAAAATTTTACATGTTTGTCATTCGTTGAGCGCACGATAGAGAAAGACTACATCTACTTTCACAAGGGACGCTGTGGGTAGGTGAAGTGTTTTTTGTGTCAGTTGTATCGGTCAGGCATTAAATCACTTTCACCAATCGTCGATGGGATAACGAACTTATCCAAATAGACAAGTGGGCGTCTTCCGTGTTGATTCACGTCATCCCGAGAGCATCATTATCTCATACGAGAACGGAATATGAACTCGGAATGGTGAAACTGCTAAGGGGTGATTCAGCTAATATTCCGTGAAAAAGTGCTGCCCATGTATCTATCACTAGCTCATGACGTTTATACAACTTTAAGAACATTATTGAATTTTTATAAAATGATACTGTATTGCCTAATCCATACAAACATGCCCAGCTATGTACAGGCTAAAACCATCACCATACTGCTAATCGAAGTGACCTTCTCTATAAGCCTGGTGGTTTTCTGGGGTCTCCTCGCCCTTTTTAGATACTGTAAGTAATTGTGAAACTGATTTGGATTGAATTATATATTTCCTATTTACGCTTCTTGTAGCTGCTGTTCCTACGTTGGACGGAAGGGGAATGGGCGCCAGGGGATTTCTGTGGGAAAGAACTGCGACAAATTTGGGATTGTAGTGCACGAGATTGGTCACACTGTCGGATTTTGGCACGAACATACTCGGCCTGACAGGGGTGAATTTGTTACGATTGTCAAGGACAATATTAAGAAAGGTGCGTGAAACATTTAAGTGATTCGTTTTTCCTACACTTACCCAACGTAGTGGTCACCCAATCTCGTTCCCAGAGTCTTCGTTACTCTTGACCAGCGGTCGGAAAACGAGAGCTCTGGGAGCAACCATTTCAGGCATGCGCCATAGATGCAGACTGCGCAATGAAACCGGATAGGCAGAATCACCAGAATACGGTTATTTCAAAATGGTTGCTCCCAGAGCTCTCGTTTTCCGACCGCTGGTCAAGGGGAACGAAGACTCTCGGAACGAGATTGAGTGGTCACCATGAAGGCTACAAAGTAGGTGATCTATCGGCTTGTCATACAGTCGTTCCTCTTTCAATAGGGAGAAGGGAGGCGGAATGCAGTCTGGCCTGCATTGCAGGCGTATTTCAGCTAGCAGAGCGCATTTTTATCAAGCGAGCGTTAAGTTGGATTCAAACTCGAAGAGGCTGGGAGAGACGAAGAGGTGTCGAAGGGAGTAGGAGTGAGAGCGAAACCAAAATGGCAGCGAATCTGCTACTCGATCGCGAGCTAATACCGATAACTCGCGAGCACTGCAAGCTACAGTAGCCAAGAGTAATTTGCTTTAATTAACAATTAGATTATGAGCTCGAGATTTCTATGAGGTGATAGTTGATGAGGCCGAATCAACTATCGCCTCATAGAAATCGAGAGCGATTGTTTTAGTAGAATTCTAACCTAAATTAAAATAATGGTTTCCAAATATTTTTCGATGCATTATTGAACTTTATGCTTCAACAAAATCGCACGTATTGAATTGTCCTTGGTAAATTTGCAGTTGTTTACGCGCGCGCTTCAGTTTTTCAATAATTTCAAGTTTTTAAAGTCAAGAATCCGTTTATGTCCTTCTTTTAGTCTTCTCAGGAATGTAATTATCCATTTACATCTAAACTTTTTTCGAAAACTTCGGAAAAACGATAAATACGTCGCATTTCGTGGACGACCGACAGCTACTACAATCTAATGGTTGATAGTATACGAGTAGCTCAGCCAATCAGATTGTAGCATTTGCATTAGTACACTAGTAGAATTCTACTAATACCGTTTATTAATTTCATTGATTAGTATTTGTTATTTTTTCAGGGGAAGAACATAACTTCCTTCAGCTTAGTTCCACGGAAATTAACTCTTTGAACGAGCCTTACGACTATGGATCCATCATGCACTACGGGAAAAGCACGTTCGCAAAGGAAGTCAGTCAGGTCACAATTCTACCCAAAAAAGATCCAGAGACTGAATTAATTCCCGAGATCGGTCAAAGAGATCAGCTCAGTCAAGGAGATATTAGGCAGACTTCTAAAATGTACCGTTGTGCAGGTAAAGCAAACAAAACTTGTACATTATGTCATGCAGACAGGAACGCAACTCGGCGTATCACAGTTCTGTTACAAATTGTATCACAACGTTGCCAATTAGTGGTATCACTGTCGTAGCACGATGGAGCAGCACGCTAACAAAATCCAACAAGTGTTTTGATAGGCCCTATTCGTACTCCCTGTATTGGACTGGAACTAGCTTGCAACTGAGGCTAATGCGGAGAATCTTTTCAAATGCAAATGACCTTGACCTCTTTTTCATGATATTCCCCCACATGAGCCTCCATTGCAAGCTAGGTCCAGTCGATTGCCGAGAATACGAATATTTAAACAATAGAGTGTCTCTGTCAAGGAACTATCGGCTGATAGTTGCCCCGCGGAAATTTGATGTTCTTAAAACAAATATTTGCCCGAGAAGCGAAGCTTCGAGTGCAAATATGCTNNGTTTTAAGAACATCAAATTTCCAAGGGGCAACTATCAGACCGATAGTTCCGAGACATAAACACTCTATTGTCTTTATTGTTCACCACTAAATTTTCTTGCGCTTGCCAGTTCAAAAATCATATTGAATTATTTTCAACTTTTTTAGAGGAAAGCCGTGAACGCCAAATGATTTTAACTTCAAATTCTAATTTTAAAACAACATCAAATCTTCAAAATTTCCTATTTCCATAAATTTTACTGATCCTTTGAGAAAAACTATTAATCCCCAAATATACCCAAAAATCACCAAAAAAATTTACAAAACAACCCAAAAAGTAGATATGTGGGCCATGGGATGAGTAGAGAGATTTTTGCCTGCTTGAAACGTGAGCAAGATATTTGCGTTAAAACCATAAGACCCAGCCGAAATGCGGCCTTCATGTTAACCCCGCCTTAAATTTTTCTTTTCAAAATTTCTGACGAGCACCNCCCCCCGCCCCCGAGGGCGTTGCACATGTAGGACCTTGTGGTTCAGGTTACAAAAAGCGTTGCATTCTGTCGAATTCCAATGGAGAATAAACTTGACGTTTATACTATGACATCAATCAAAGTTTGCTCTACCTCTTGTTCATGAACGATGGGAATAATGAGTCATTTCTTGTTGAAAAACTACTGCTAGTAAAACAGCAGTGAACACGAAGTGTCGACAAAGGTCCTTGTTTAATATCAAAGCGGACGTTTCCCACAGTATGGACATCAGGGCCGAGTTTTTCGAAAGCCGGTTAACGCTAAGCCAGGATTAAAAGTTAACCGAAGTATGAATATTTCTTGTATAAAAATGTTTTTCACCGCTCTGAGTGGTTTGAGATTATTGAAACTCAAAACTGAAAGACAAACAAACAATGTAAACAGAAAATCTCACCTAAAAGTTACAAAACTGAAATCAAAATTCTGGCTTATCTTACGTTACCCGGCCCAGGGGCCTGTTTCTCGAAGGTCCTGAAGAGTTTTCGCACCCGGAAAGCCATAGCAAAATCTCAAACCTTACGATTACAGAGCTGTTTTATTCACATATTCTTAATATGAACAGAGGTTCCCTTCATACAAGAAGTTTCAGGCGTATACACCTCTCCGTTTTTAGATACAGATGATCTAAAAATGGCTTTGCCGGCCCGAAAAATTTCCGGGGCTTTCGAGAAACGGGCCCCAGTAGTATTGATAACTCCAAGTTATCATATCTCACCACACGTAAACCGTTAGTGTTAAGGATAATAGCCACAAATCTCTTTCCCCGATGTCTCAGCCTTAACACCTTTTGACTGAAGACCTAAATGAAGGATGAGCGGAACCCACTGTACATGTCGAATGACGTTCTATCGGCGGAAACATTATGGGAGGCTGTCTAAAATGTCACTCTTTGCCTCGGTTATGTGTTAATCCAATAGAACGGGAAGAGGGGATAATTACCTTTACGTATAAATGATTTCGCTGATAATGGAGGAACAATTTTTTGGTCCTTGAAATTCTTGCTAGGTGTTTGCGTATTAATCGCATTTGAACGTTATTTCGATGCCATCATAAGATCTAGAGTGGCCGCGTTTTTTCTTGTATACAAAATATATTTCTAATTTAAATTAATGCATCGCTTTGTTTTCCTTTCTGTGGCGCGAAGGAGAAAGTCTTGGCAGGAACTGTGATAATTCGACAGAGGAATGTCTTTTGTAAAGTAAAGATTGGAAATTGCCATTTATGACGATCTTTTGTGAAACACTTCTACCAAAATTAAGATCGTTACCTCTCGCGCGCACAAATTTGCTTGGGAAAGATTTATGCCAAATGAATTTGAAAAAAAAAAAATGTGAAGGTCAGGAATTATTAAGTGTATGGAATGTAATGCTTAATATTTTTATCACAAAATTAACTACTAACGACTTATATCCTGGAAATATAAGATAGGTATAGTATTAGCGACAAGCTTTAGCAAGTTAAGTCAGTTCAAAAATATAAAAATCCTAGGAACAATCTTAATATTTCCTCTTCCTATCCACTTTTTAAAAACTTGCAGGGGAATGTGCATGCAGGTAGGAATTCTGAGCATCGATTAAATAGGCCATTTCCGAGTTACCTTGTACCTCTGTTTCAAAATGAGTCTCCGCGCAAAACCTTTCATAAGAAAATAAGTTTGATTTGCATGAAAATGAACATGTAGGCGGAACACATTTCTATAAGAATATATAAAGAAAAATGTACAAGGTTTCACACAATCGTAGAAGTGCTCGATGCAAATACATGCAGAGCGGAATACTATAATTAAAGATAGAGACCGTACGGACAGTTACTCGAGTTTCACGCACGAAACGATCATCAAACTGTGCCGTTGGAGGTGGGTGGAATACAATTTAAACTAAGCTCATGGAGGACGGTTGGAGCGATCCTGTTTTTGATTGAATATATAAATATATATTCTCTTATATTCTATAAGTTTCGCACGAAGACTCGTTTTGACACAGAGGGAAATGTCACTTCGGAAGAGGCTTGTCGCAGAGTTTTCAGGAAGTTTATATTTTCTCAAATTGCCGTCTGATAAAACTCTTTGATGGCTTGCTCTAGCCTCGGATATGGAAATCGCCAGGAAATAGCTCGGAGATTACGTTATATTATTTACTTGTACTAATATCCGACAAATTGGCTACCGTGAAACTGCATGACGAGGTTCAAGTTAGGCTAATAGAATCAAATTCTTTCAAGTAGTCAAATTAGTCGCTGTGAGAAAAATTCTACACGTCGTTTTAACAGAAACAGTCAGAATTTATTCGTGCCAGTATTTGATTTGTCCAGAAGAAAATGAAAATGTGATCATGGTCTCTAGATTTGTCTGTAACCATTAACTTGAGCTAATAAAATCGCTGGTGATTGATTCCTTCCAGAACAAGATGAACGCTATTGCCACCTGTATTCGACAGCGCATATGCCCTATCCGGCACGAATTCTGTCATATGGCAGCATTTCTTGACATCGAACAAATTTTTGCTTTGGCGTAGAAATTCATAATTATATGTTTTAAAAGGGTAATTCGATTTTCACTTTTATAATAACGGGATCAAGGGAGAAGTCCAACCAGATCTTGTTAATAACTCTGTCAGTCCATTAACAGACAGCGCTGATTGATTTCTTCGCTTCGTTGCCAGAAAAAAAGAAAAATGTCTAATTGACCTAGTCTAATTAACCTAATTTTGGCTTCATGCTTCGAACGAAAGCAGTTTCCTGAAAAAGGAGTTCTCAGGATATTTAATTAAGTAAGGCTGATCCGCTGTTGCGGTTAACAGATAGCAACGTAATTAGCTTTTTCAGGAAACGCCTTCAGGACGTTGTTGACATGCCCCCATTTGTAGCAAAAGGACGACTGGTAAATTTCCCTACGTTTCCCAAAACTGAACCATGCATTTGTTTTAAACATAACGTTTTCGCTATTAAATGTCATTTATTAAAATATACATTTTGCAGTAAGTTCTTGGGCTCTCCTCTTTGTCTATAATATCTTTAGAAAAGGCAGAATAATCATATACTTATCACATTTTGAACACCAGAGTAATTAAAGCAATTTCCAGTATGTTCTACTATTCCTTTACGATAGATTCATGTTATTGTCTCGATGCCATCTTCAGAAAACAAGGATTTTTTGCGGCTTGATAGCGTAATTAATGTGAACAATGGTTCCACTAATCGATTGATTCAAGGGGTTGGGAATACTTGTACAACTTCATTTAATCACTAGTTATGTAAGTTATTTCCCGCTGATCTATTAATGGACGTTTAATTAATGGCAATTTGTCATCATGTGGTTCTTGTGGCGAATTACATACTTACATTCCTGAAGCCATTTTGTAAAGTTATGTTCTCCATTTGCCAACAAAAACAAGGCGTATCGAACATGACAGCTGGAATGTTTCTCTTAAGGTTTCCTTTCAAGATGCAGATGGAAATTGTTGTCGGGTTTGTGGAATGCCGTCTTGATCTCAGTATTCTCGCAAAACGCAAAGGCAAGTACAATAAATATTCTCACCTGCGACGGAGTTTGTTTCGGGTGTGAGCACAGCCGTGAGATTTGATCGAGCCTAGATCTCTTATTCCAAAACATAATATTTCCTTCAGCTGGGTCTGTCTCAAAACTTAAATTAAATTATATATGTACGTATTGGGTTGAGCTGACCTCGAGAAATAAAATGCCAGCCATGTTCTATAATACAATGCTCTGTCAAGTTCCAAATCCACACCTTTACGACAAGGTGCCTTATAAATAAAGTTAGTACGCGCGCTGTGATTGGTCAATTGGCTTTGTTGCCAAACTGTTTCGCGATTTATCGACAAGTGTTCTTAACTTTTATTGCAAGTGAAAGTTTAAACTTTCTTACACTCAAAATGGTGTAATAAAGCGTGCTAACGACTTAAAAACAGTTTCAAACTGACTCGTTTTGCTTTCGAGGTGCGTCAGAAATTTGAAGCCTTTCCGAGTCCGCGTGAATAGAAATCGTTTCCGAACCCGTCAGGCACACAGTAGCGATATAATAAATATCTTA